TAAATTCGTATATTTAGACACATACATAAAGTAAATAAAACACATATTAACATTTATATACACACACACACACATATATATATATACATATATATATATATATATGGACGCATATTTACTTGCAGGTATCATACAGTCGAACAACGCGCTCAAGATATTGTATGGAAGAGTTCAAAGCCGGTTCAATGTTAAATATATTTTAACATATCGCTTGAACCAGGATGTGCTGGAAAATTTCTTTGGAGTAATTCGAGCCAAGGGCGGTTTGCATGACCACCCGGACCAGCAAGAATTCAAATATCGTCTACGAGGATATTTACTTGGACGCAATGAAGGCGTGATATCGAATGCAGCAAATGTGGAAGAAGACGATACACCCGACTTAGAAATGTCGCAGCCCCCTCTTACAGGTAATGAAAATTTATTGTTAGCTAGAATAGCATACATTTTAATCTTTACTTGTATAGGTGCCATACTGAAAAACGTTGTTTCGGAAAAATGGCCTATCGATATAGAGCCACCAGAGTTTGAGGATCTAGAGTACGATGGTCTAGAAAATTTAGCCGGATACATATGCCACCGATTGCGAGACGATATCCCCAGCACCTCACTCAAAGGCGCAGATGATCCCTCCTACACATGGGTAAATCACTTAAGTGAAGGAGGATTATCTGTACCTAGCAGCAGTATGATGGAACATATAAGCAATCTAGAATCAGTATTCAGAGCAATGAACGAAGATGGTTTGCTCATTACAAATGATATTGTAAAAAAACATATTGAGCAAGCTTCTAGTATAAATTGCGACATTAAAATAAAAAAAATATTTTTTAGGGCAAGAATGTTTTTTACGTTAAGAGAACTTAATAAAAAACTAATTGAAAACGCCCGCACAAAAAAAAGAAAATATACAAAAATACTGACCTAGATTTGCTTGTATTGGTCCAGAAAACTGAAACTGTCTGATGTCGCTTCATATTAATGTTCTTTTAATGTACAAGGTATAGTGTCTGACAAAATATCAATAATTTTTAAATCTAACGTTTCTTTAAAATTTTTCCTTTTTATCTTTTGCAGTTCGTAACGAGAACGGTTCTTCAGTTCATCCGCTTAACATAAAGGCCCTTTTCAGGGCCGCAAGTATTAAACAAAGAGATAAAAATTCTACTTATATCTGTGGTCATAAGCAATAGCCGCCTAAGTCGAGTACAGCCTCATGCATGCAATTCGCATACAATTCTTAAGTCGACTTAGACGGTTATTGTTTGCAACAAAACACATATCGCACACCATCTTCTGAAGTGGTACAACTCAAAAATCAGAAAAACATATTTGCATTCATATGGATTGATTTATGCGTAAAAATCTACGAAAATTTGTTTGAGTTGTGCCCCTTTTACAGATGGTGTGCGATATGCATACGACAATAGCACAACTAATAACAATACCAATATACGTACATAAATAAGTTTTTTATTGCAATCTTCCAATTAAACCATTAAAAACATCATTTATAAATAACTTATGAAAAACTTTGTGCTTTTGTATTTTCCCAGATATGATCGCCGATGATAGAATGGATGGATGAGTCGTCGTTCATTATCTGTGCACAATTCTTGCTTGAAGGCATGTAAACATTGCGAATATTACCAAAAAAATAGCGAATGCAACGAAAACTTTTATCAGAAATATTTCAGAAAAACATACCTATTATTTAATAACTATTTCAAAATTTTAGAATAAAAATCTTATACTACCAGAAAAAACGCAGTGTATCTTGTTTAGACAATTTTCGTTAATGCCTTGGCGCGCCGATCGGTATTTTGGAAAAGTGCTCGTATGAGATGCTTAATTTCTTCTGCCTTATAGTTTGCCGTTAAAATACCGGCACCTTCACACCACTGCTCGGCGATTTCTTGCAACGAATAATTCAGTATCATTTTCAATTGCTCAAGTTTCATCCAAGATTTAATATGTATCACTTCATGTTTGTGCTGCAGGAAGTACAAAAAAAAAATAGCATTTGATTCGCATCATTGCATTCCATCAAAAATTTACCTTGAATAAAGTTGGCACCTTCTCCAATATGACACCGATTAGCTCACTCAACTCACTTGCCACTGTTGCCGAAATGTCCTCCATTGCGAGTATACGTCGTATTATTTCATTACAAAAATCATGTATAATATCGCAAAATGTCTTGTTATAAATTGCATCGGGTAACACATTCTGCCAAACATTTTTCAACAAATCTAATTGACGCAAACACTGGTGCAATAATTTCAACGGCGCAGTGCCAACTGTGTGTGCATCGGAAATATCTGCAAGAGAATACAAATATTTTTTATATAAAAGGTTATACAATAGGCACTTGTTTCAAGTATCTATGCACAAAATTACCAAATTCTTTGAGTATGCCCATGATAATCTTTTGCTGATAATTGATTTGTACATTCAAATATTTGCTTCCACTCATATGTAGGGTCTTAACCAATGCTGGGTATGTGGGTATGCCCTTTTCTGAATTCGTGGTCACCCAATGTGCTAAAAATTGGCAATTATTATAGAACAGAGATAATATAAGGTACTGAATTAAGTTTATACTAAACTATTAATCTCTAGCTACTTGCTTGGAACAACGCCATCACAGTATCTTGCAATTGATTAACATCCTTCGATACCTGCAGCGACATTTCACGGAATTCGTCTATACACGCACCCAGCTCTGAGTTGGCTTGGCGCAGTGCGGCATTTGCTTCGCTGCCAATTGTCTGCAGCAAGTGCTCAGACTCACGCACTAATTGCTCACGTTCATCAAGGTACGCGTCGGAAGTTGTATTATTATTATTTAGATTGTATTATTATTATTTAAAATACCTTTGATAATACTTTTCAAAGATTTCATCTTCGACTAACTCGTGGGAGCGTTGATTCTGAAATGGCAAACATTTTTAACACATACATTTGTCCCAACATTATTTTTCATACTTACCCTAAAGACTATATGCACAACACCACTACAATGCTTTCATCTTTAATTAAAGCTAATATATATGTTTAATATCTATAAATTTTCCCATTTTAATGTGTTATGAATAAATTTTTTCGTATTGTTTACGTTTTTCGTGCAAAATGTCTTCTTCTTCTTGCATTCTTATTCGCGTTTTGACATTGCTCTCTCGCAGCTGCACCAGTGTGACGTCACCGAAAAATTACGCTCAAAAATCCTCTCTGATCGGCGCAATCTTGTATTCTATCATTCTTGCATCGTAGATATTATGGGTAGGGATGCCAATTTTGAGGAGTAACATCGATAATTCGATGTTTCGATGCATCGGAGAAATGAACATCGATGCTAAAATATATCGCCAGAAAAACATCGATATATCGATGCAAGGGCGTAGCCAGAATCTGATGCAAAACGAAATATACTTGCTAATTTTTTTTTATATATTTTTTATTTAATCATTTTTAAGCTTATAAAGATTTTCAGCACGCTAATAAACTTTTCGATTATTTCCTTTTGAATCACCTCGCGGT